TCCGATCTATATATAAAAGTTTACATTTAATGATAAAATAAATTTATATGTTTCATATTTTGGAAAGTCACGTCATGTGTCTAAAAATAAAGAAGAAAACAAACTTGTTTGATAAATAAGTGATTCTTTTTAATATAAAAAATAATTAGTATTTTAATCTTTCTTTTAAGAGAGTGTATTTATCCTTCATGGAAAAAGTAATCTCTTACTCGAATTACTCTATTGTAAGCAGTAACACTTTTTATAAGTTTTTAGTGGAATTGCATATCTATTAATCAAAGTCAAGTTAAATTGTAATAAGTTTTTTAATTATTTTACGTACTCAATGCTTTTAGTTTGTGAATTATAAATTAATATTTTTCATAATTTATATATGAAAGTTACATTATAATTAAAATTCATATTAAATATATAAATTATATAACTTTATATCACAACATAAATTATTTAGCATGAATTTGAAATAATTTTTTAACATATTTATTTATCAAAATTTAGTTTATAATATAATTTATATATTTAAAAATATTTATTATAAAATTTACATATATAAAACTAAAAATACCCTTCATACATCTTCATAATTTTATTTAAAATAAAATAAAAAGAGAGGGAATGCATGTTATAATATCTTATACTAACAAAATTATTTGTTTGTATAATATATTATAGGCTAAATTATATTTTTAATTTTTAATTTTATTTTTAATATTTATTTTAGTTATTTATCATTTAAAATATTTATTTTGGTCATTTATTTTTAAAATTTTGGTTAATTCTTTTATGAAATATTTTTTCTTTTATTTTAAGACATAATTTTGAATAATTTATTTTTTATCGATTTAATATGTGAAACTTATTATGTTAGAATAACCTATACAAAACTATGAAACTTAATTGATATTTTTATAATGACTCAGCAGGTCACTGCACTTAAATAACACAAGAATATCATCTCAATAGTAGAAAATATAATATCAACTAACCTAGGATTCTCGTGCACCCAATTCTTAAATATTCATGCAACATTATGTAACACTATCGTCTTATAATTCTATTGTTTAATTTGACAGTTCCTACTAAGAGTTCTGGGACTGAGAACACATTGATCTCTGGAGGATTGGACCAAAGATAAGTGGAGTCAAATTAAAAAATGTATAAAAGGAAAATTGTCAAATGGAACCTCATAACTCATTTTTTCTAGAACTCTAGAGAGAAGCTAAAGTGAGATCATTTCTTTCTTCTCTTTTCTTTCTTCTTCTTCTCCCTTACTTGAACTTTCCTTTTCTAGTCTTTCCTTAGCTGATCCAAGTGGGTTGTGAGCTGAAATCTGAGCTTATGAAGGCATAAGATTCGAGTTGGTATCGTACAGAGTTCCTTTTCTTCTCCTCTTGCAAATTTGGGGTCTCCAAGAGGTAAGAGAAGCAGTGATTTTAAATTAAGTGTGTAGTTTGTGTTGGTGATGATCAGAATGAATCAATTAAAGGTGTTGAGTGATTGAATGATAAAGTTGAAAGGAGTTTAATGGATTGTGTGTTCAAGGGTGTTCATGGAAGTTCAAGCTTAAGTTTTGATTGATTTTAGTTGCACGTTGATTATGATGGTGAAATCACGTTGTATATGTTGTATTTTTATGGACCTTTTTTCAATAAGAGGATTTGTATGAATTTTTTTAACTTTTTATCTTATTCAATTTTTATTTATCTTAATTATTTATGCATTAAATTAGTTTTAAAATATATTATCAATATATAAAAATAAATTTTGTACTACTATATAAACTATTTATCATAAATTAAAAATATAATTTATATGTAAAAATATATATATTTGTAAAAATTTTAAATATAATTTTTATTTCAAACATATTATATATATATATATATATATA